TAAAAAAAAAAAATTAAGGCAAGATTACTGATTTCATGACATGATTCTTTCTTTGTTATTGAATTAAAAAAGAGACATAACTGTTGTAAGTCAAATGTACAGAAAATAAAATCCAAAACAATCACTTTACCTTCAGTAAGTACAGCGTTGTTAAACTTGAACAACTATATGATTTATTTCTGTGTCCTTCGGTTCACATGTGCTGTACGTAATATAAAAATGATGTTTATGGAATATACTTGAGCTAACCCAGTAGAACTTTCTAGAAATGTACTCAACTGGATCATTTAAACGGAGCCATAGTTTGCAGATAGGTTGGAAAGTATCAACATGACTTCATTTTGAAGAAGCCAATTCATGAAATATATGCCAAGACAAATAATTGGAGAAGAGAAGGTACTGCTGAAACTAAACCTGCATTGTTTCACTATAACTGCCAATAACATGACAGTGACACAGAAGAAGGTGCAGGAAATTGTGTTTTTTTTTCTGCATTTAAGAAGAGACTAGTGTATTTTGCATATTTTCAAATAAATTAATATATTTGAAAGACAGAGCATTTATTTCCTGCGAAACCTCTCAGACCTGGTTGAAATCTTTAAACTATCTAGGAGGAATTTATCTATTTATTTATTTATTTTGGATGGGGATGGTTAAAGTAGCTTGAACTCTTGGCTACATTTCTGAAAGGTAATTTGATCATAAAAACAAGTCTCCAAAAGAGCAAGAGCAAGAGTGGGTGCAACAACACCCACAGTGACTTTTCTTTGGAGGATGGAGATTTTCTGCGCAGTATCTTTGCTGTTCCTAGAACTGAAATTTTCTGGACTGAGATGTCTGATGTATTTCCAGGGATCTGCTGTAACCACTCCTCCAGTTTGGGGGTCACTGACTCGAGGGCCCCAATGACCACAGGTACCACTGATGACTTGACCTTCCAGCTTTTCTCCAGCTCTTTTCTTTTTATCACATTTGGGCATATAGTCATGCATTCATATTTCTCTATAGTGAATAAAATTTTTGTAATTTGATAGATAAAGGAAACTTAAAAAAAAAACATATTTTACTAATTTAAAAAAGGGATCAGTTTAAATGAACAACTTACAGAATTAAACATTGTGTCTTTGTCTATAATTGTAGGGATTCCATATTCCAGCTATTTTACAGCAGGCAGTGATAATAGATCTTTCACTTTTTTATACGCAATCAACAATGCCTTTTTTATTTACCAGTTAGGATGAGCTTTTAATTTAAATCAATAATACTGTTAAACTAAACAATAATCATCTAATGGCTGATTGTGCCATTCGTTTTGAAACTCTAGGTTAATTTTATTTTATCCCATTTTATGCTCTATCATACATTCAAATTAATTTATTCTGTTCGTCTTACATTCAAGAGAAATGACTAAATGTGTACATGTATTAAGAGGTAACAGAGATTAGCAACATATCTTCCGATGGGCTTGGTGTGGCATTGGTGAGCGGGCACTGGGAAAAACAGCATGAAATCTGCAGGCAGGAAAAAGTGAAGCTAAAAAATATTTTGACCACTAGTCCAATAAAAGGGCATCACTATCATGCTCTAACAAAATACATTTATGCAACACATTGGCCTTATCTCCTTTCTCCAGAGAGATTTTCAACGTCTTACTTCTTAAATCCGGGGGAAAGTGGTTATTCTATAGGCTATGTTTAGCCTTTTGATTAAAATGCACCACTAACTGCAGGCGCAACGATATTAGATTATTATTCATGGAAGCAGACTGATGGGTTTTATGCATGTTTACTGGGGAAAAAGTAGGCCAGATTCCTGCTGACTGATGAACCCTCTCACTCTATATTTTATATGTCATACAGCTTCTCTGAGGCTCCACTGAAGGCCCCTGTGTGGAAGATCTTTAGCGGACAATGCTTAACAAACTCCTCCAGCTAAACATGTCCAACATTCTCAAAGGTTTGGCTTTCTATTCTAAAGTTTCAAAGCTGCAGAGAATACATGTTTTTATAGTTATTCGTCGTTCTGTTTCTAAATTTCTAAAACTTTTAAAAGGGGAAAAAACATCTTTATATAACAGATAGTTGTAAATGTCAGTGAGCTCTATTGCTTGATCTCTTGCAGAATAGCTCAAGCTCACTCAGATTGGATGAAATATCGGAGAGCAATTGCTACAGATTTATATCTGGACCTCGATCAGCTCCGTATTATATTTCAATATAAATATAAATTTCAATAAACTGAATTGAATTGAACTTGATCTAAACACTAATTGATACTGAGTGAGGAACGGTTCACTTGGACGCTACCCTTAGTATATGGGTGTTTCAGGAATGAAGTATCATGCCACTTCTGATAGTCTTCTTTAGGAAGACTAAAAAAACAAAGTTGGGGACCTCTTGCAGCCAAAAAGTACATTTTCATTACTTAAATATCAGTTAAAAATATATATTTTTTTAATTACACTGCAGTTCAGGTTCTAAAAGAGCTATTTCATCTCAACTTTGAGCAGAGATTATGGTGCTCTACTTCACATCAATGCTTCCTAATCAGAGAAATTGGGTGCGTTGTTTGCTGTGCAGGCACAGCTCAGTCATAATAGGTGTTTCCTTGAGGGGGAGGCTAACAAGAGCTCTAGACTGGTCATTGCCACTCCCTTTTCAGGACAGGGAGGAGACTGCTGCTCTAAGAGAGTGATTTGTTGAAATTAATTTGCAAGAATTGAGAAATACCAATTTGGGCAGGATTTTTTAAAAAAAGTTTAAATTATATATGATATATTCCCTTTTAGAGCTGCACAGTGGCGCAGTTTGTAGCACAGCTCAGGGTCTTTTCTGCACGCCGTTTGAATGTTCTCCCTGTGCATGCATGGGTTCTCTTCAGGTACTCTGGCTTCACTCCACAGCCCAAAAAAGTTAGGTTGATTGGCTTCTCTTCATTCTCCTTGTGTGTGCATGGTTGTATCTCTCTGTGTGTCTCTGTGTTGCCCTACAACAGACTGGCGACCTGTCCAGGATGGACTCACCTGTGACAAGGTGGATGGAGAGATGGACATTCCTTTTTAGAGTTAAATGTACAGAAATTTAAATCCTAACACAAATGAAAGAGACAACGGACATTTGTTTTCAGGGAATGAATTGGAGGAAGGCATTTCTGTATATTTCAATAATTTTTAATTAATATGGTAAACTGATTGCCATATTCCCGACCAACAGTAGCAGGTGAGGCTGATAAATGAAAGCTAAAAGAAAAAAAAAAACAGCACTGCCTCTCCCACCCAGGGGTGCGCTCTCTTTCAGCTCTTTACTCGACAGGTCTCAGACTCCAGTCATCGAGGCCCGGTGTCCTGCAACTATTACGTATTTCTCTCCTTAAACTCACCTTAATTTAAATATAGCCGTTTGTTGAGATTTGTTGGACCAGGGAAGTAACTATAAGTTACAGGATACCATCCCTCTAGGACTTGAGTTTTGCACCCATGCTGCTCATAAATGACCCCACCTCAGGGGACGCGTTTGTGAAACCCCTGAAGTTTGCAGAGGATCCAGGACACTGACAGGAGCGAGTCGGCTGGTTCACTGGTACGGTTAGAACCACCTGGATTTATCTCACTCAAGACTGTTGGGATTACACTTACAGTAACTGGAGAACCCTACTCCCACTATCCCCACACATCATGGTGACTGTGGACCACTCTTGGTTCCTCCCAGCAACCCTTCCTAGTAAGCCGAGGTGTTTGTGAGAATAAGGCCCTGCAGAGATTATACCTTCTGTGCAAACTCAGGGAGAACAAACTTCACAGGTGCTTCTGATCATCCATCATTCACTCTGTCCTG